AGGTGATGTGGGATGCCCCTCTATGCTGTGAATATGTTTTATTACCATTGGTTAACAAAGAAGCTGCTTTGGGCCTGTGGCAGGCAGAATAGAGTAAGGCAGGAATTCCATGCAGAGATAGAGAAGAAAAGAAGGTGGAGTCAGGGAGATGCCATGCAGCTGCCAAAGGAGACAGGCTCCAGAACTTTACTGGTAGTTTTCTACTTCATGGTAATAGAAATGGTTTAATTTAAGATGTGAGAGTTAGTTGATAAGAAGCCTGAGCTAATAAGCCAAGCAGTGTTTGAATTAATAGAGTTTCTGAGTGATTATTTCTGGTCTGAGTGGCCTGGAATGAATGAGCACTCTCCACCTACAAGAAATTACTTGAGTGTTTACTGTTGTGAAATCCTCATGTCTTGTACAGTAGGAATTTCATGTCTTGTAATTGCTAGAGACCTCAAAAACTGTATTTAATTTGTCAAAGTTTTTACCTAGTATAAACACATCTGAAAATTCATCTTGAAGGGAAAACCAAAAAAAAAAAACCTCCTTTAATAAAGACTTATCTTTTATTCTCCTTCAAAATAGTCATTCTGGAGTCAAACCCTACAAATAGCAAGAGCACGAGAAACAAACAGTAGAGACGTGGCCTATGTGTATGACACATGTCCATGCTCATGCACAGCTCGGAAATCCCAAAGAATGTTCATGAAAGTAATTTTTCAGTACTCAAGAAAGTTGGAAAGTTATTCAATACATAAAACTAAAAAATAAAAAGAAAGTTACTCCAACTGAAAAGCACAGTAATTCATATAGAAACACTGAGACACAATATCCATTAGACAAACAAGCATATTACAAAGAAGAAAACCAAATGAGTAAGTGAACATGTCCTGTTTTTGAATGGACAAGGGTGTTTCTATTTGAATAATTCTTACTGACATTTGGCAATAATAGTATTGGAATTTGCTGAAATGTAAACACGGTGGTTTGTTTAAACTGGGATACATCCATGCTGTCTTGCTTACAGGTGGTTTTATGATCATTTGTATCAGTTGTTCCTTATCAGGGCTGATGAGCCTGAGACAGGTGTCAAGGAAGTTAGATACTTAGATACTGATCACTAACCATCTGTGGACCCAAGTCAAATGGACAGACAGATTCCTGAGGGCAAGTTCAGAGGGTCCCTGGCTCAAAGCTCTTCTTCCTGCAGATCAAGGCCCCTCTTCTTGATGACCTTTTGGTAACTACAGTAGTTCCGGTGCTGGGGAGAATTCTGTCATTGTGTGCCTATGAAGACCCCTCCGTTTTTGCCCTCTTTGCCCTGACTGCTCATTAATGGTTCCCTAGTTAAAACAGCCTTTGCCACCCAAGCAGAATCCTGTCTTGGAATCCCTTTGGTTTCCACAGTTATTCTTGCTCTTTATTTGTAACACATGTTGGTTGAAGTGATTGACTCTCCTGGAGTTCAGTTTTCTTTGTGTAGGGGCAAGATCTGATAGCAGCCTAAAGGTACATTCCCTGGCACTTGCTGCCTGTACCTCCTGGAAATGTAACTGTGTGTTTTTGTCCCATGGAGAATTAGTAGCCTAAGCAAACTTCATTACTGTAACACAAATGGAGATGAAATTTATTTTGCAGGAGGAGGAGGATACAGGTAAGTATCCTGGGCAATAGGAAGAGAAAACGGCTAGCCTAACATAGCCAGAAGTAGGGGCTTCTTAAAAACATATTTTACAGATCCCTAAAAAAAAAAATTAGCAAATCCATGGAATTAGTGATGTCCTCAATGAAATGTATGTGGAAAAATAAAGATATCAGAGGAAAACAAAATCTAATCTTAGAGAATGTATAGTCGTGTTGAACGGTGTGCATCATACACCAAGAAATTCACACGTTTGCGTTTGCCTTCTTTGAAAATGGTGAATACCAGCTATAAGTTTCCATCTCTTAGTAAAGTAACACCCTCCCATTGTAATTTCATTTTTTTTTGTAAAACTGCCTGTATTTTTGAATTTTCTACAACCCTGTGTTGGGTAATTTAATAAATAAAATCCGTGTTTAATAGTTTTACATTGAAATTCAATGAGTAAATGTAATCTAGCCTCCTGCCTGAAGTTCTAACACCTTAGTTTAACGAATGAGGAATGCTGGGTAATTTGCAAGGCTTATTTGCAAGGTAAAATGCTGGAGACTCATTCAAAATCTTTCCATAGCATGTAAGCCATATATGATTTTGCATAATCTTGTCCAAGTTTATATTTCATGTCTGAGGCTTTAAGATGAATTTAACAGAAATTACTTGGCAGTGAAATTAGATTCCTAATTCACAGTTATGGATATCTTACTTACAAACAATAAGGTTTTTTTCAGGTAGTACTTTTCTTTCTAATACTGGCCAACTCCACCAGAACACAGAGGCTTTTCCTTTACAGTTAAACATATGTCTGAGTATTTTAAAGTTGAATCTATTGTTTGAAAATTTCATATTTGTGTGCCATACATTTTGATAGACACACTCCAGTTCCTTCCTAACTCTCCCCACAATCATACTAGTCCTTCACATCCTCATGTTCTCTTCTCTTCCCTTCCCTCCTTCCTTCCTTCCTTCCTTCCTTCCTTCCTTCCTTCCTTCCTTCCTTCCTTCCTTCTTTCTTTCTTTCTTTCTTTCTTTCTTTCTTTCTTTCTTTCTTTCTTTCTTTCTTTCTTTCTTTCTTTCTCTCTTTCTCTCTTTCTCTCTTTCTGTTTTTGTTGTTCATTTTTCCTCGAGGTAGGGATTCCCTGTGTAATATCCCTAGCTGTCCTGGAACTAGCTCTAGACTAGGCTAGCCTTGAACTCCCAGAGATCCGCTGCCTCTGTCTCCCAAGTGCTGGGATTAAAGGTCTGTGCCACCACCACCAGGCTCTTTTTTGTTTTCTTAAGTGGCTAAGTCCACTTAGTGCCAACTGTATGTACATGTGTGTAAAACCAATCTGCCCACATTTAATTTCCAATTGGTTAAAATGCCCCCAACCCCAAGAGGTAGGAGTAAGATTAAAAAAAAAAAAAAAACCAACAACAACAAAAAACTGCTTTAACAGGATACAAGGATTTGAATGTACCAGTTGAAGTTCCTGGGCTACATCCACAGTTAACTTCGTGTTGATAAAACAAAACAAGTCAAAAACAAGTCAAACTCACACCCTGGACCAAAACATTCTGTAGGCAAACCACTGCCTGTGTGGAATCCAATGGTATCTCCTTAAAGGAACTAGAAGCTTAGTTGGATCCTTAGACTTTTGTTTGAAGTAGAAAAGTATCTCTTCTCTATTCCTGAAATACAAGGTCTGGATATTAATCACACCTGTCGTCAATAACCTTGAGAGAGCAGAACTCTCTGACCTAAGTCTCGAAGGGACCTTTGAGGCAGAAACATTCTTGAAGAAATAGAAGTTAAATTCTGACCCTCTGACCTTTTGTCAAGCGCAGCCTGGATTCTGAGTCCAATTAATGAATGCTGACATCATTAATAATTAATAACGATGCTGGCGTCAGGATTAATGAATCACGCACTCTGGATGTTGCAGAATCAGAAGCTCTTTATTATACATCACCATGGGGGTTTTATACCTAACCCAGACAGGTGGGTCAACAGGATGGAGACGTCATCGCAGGATCCTTGGGATAGGGCCAAGCAATGCTTACTGAGGAAGCAGGATTAGTAAA